CTGGCTGCCAGGGCTGCCTGGGATTTTCTAAGTCCCACTTACTAGAAACTAATTTTTCAGCTTCAGGCAACACTGTCGTATTGATCAAGCCCAACACTTGGCATGTGCTGCCCGTGCTGTACCACCATGGCATAGCTACGCATTTTCAGATGTGCATTTTTTTTAATATTCACCTCCATCTGGCTTCCCTAAAAATATGCAAAAATCTTATACAGAACCTGGAGAGACTGTTATTCCGCTTCAGTCCACAGAACTGACAAAGCATCCTACGGATCTTCAAGGAAAATGCACAGACGAAGAAGGAAAAGCACCCAGAAAAACCAAACCAAACCAACCTCAAAGGAATCACTGCTCAGTCAGCATTAAAATGAATATGTCTGCTTAAGATCGCGGTTACTCCATGTTTTGTTTTCTTTCTGTCAAAAATATATTGCAGAATTACACGGTGACTGGAAATATTCCTTTTCCTTTGAAGTGGGAAAGAGAAAGTTCAGCGCTTAAAAAACAAGTGTTTTAAAATAAACCAAATCTTGTTTGTTGTACATTCAAGTGTTTTCTCCAAGAAATGTAAGCACGTAAGAGTCTGGAGACAAAAGGAAAGCGTGTGTCACCTTTCCAACAGCACGGCTGCAAATCTCAGGTTTATGTAAATAAGCAGGCACGGCTTCCGAGGCTTTAAAGCCGGGGGATGCTGGAAACGTCTACAGTTCCTCAACTCAAGTGTTGCTCCTGGGCAATGCTATAATATTCATTAAAGAATCCATTTATCAACAGATACCACATGTCAGAGTTTTCCAGCACAGTTTTCCTGACACTCTGCTGCAAACGATGCTTTAAAAAACCCTAAATGGAGAGCAATAACCCGAGAGCCTCTGCCCGCGGTGCGTCCCACATGGCTATCAGAACGAAACCAGCAAAGATTTACACGATAGCCTTTCTGATAACGGCAAGCATTATGCTTTATTTTCCAAATCATTAGCATGCACAAGAATGACCTCATGGTGAACAGATGCACTTGGATATGGCAGTGATTAGATCAGTCCTCTCAGCAGTCAAGTGTGCCCATTTCAATTAACCCTTTGAAGCACCAGCCGGGAGCCCGCCCGGCTGAACGGCAGCTTTGCAGGTTCTCGGGCAAGCAGAGATCTGAGCATAAACCCCTCAGATACAAATCCTCCTCTGGTGCATGAGTTCTCTCTTTTCCTTCCTAGAATACCCGACTGCTCCCGTTTCCTGAGGGTTAACGGGACTCTGGCTTCTGATCTTAAATGAAAAACACAAACAACAAACGCCGTTTAGCCGGCAGAGGTAATTAAAGTTGGAACGCTTTTGTATCTGCTTGTGCCTGGTTCATTTTCAGGATTTTTTTAAAAGACCACGCAAGTATTTTGGTCAATAACTGTTTTTCTTCTTGGCTGAGGGAGCAAGAACAGAAAAAGAGAGCAGCTTAAAACCCCACCCTCTAAACCGAGAGAAATCTGCAGAGGGAAAGGATAAGAATAATTCAATAATGCTGGATTACTGAGGATTTCCTGGGCTGACTCTCATACCCAGCCTAATTAAAATACAGCATGTAATGTACCAGTTTAACAACAAAGGACCGTATTCCCATCTTTTGTTCCTAATCTGCACATCCCCTAAATGAGTTCGGGGATGTCCGTTCTGCCTACCAGGCTGCATTTTCAGCGTTTAAGATACACAGGGCTCTCCGTGATCCGTGCAGGGAGTCCAAGGCTCTGCGTCAGAAAACGGCAGACGAGGTCGGTTAGACGATCGTCACGCATGAAACGTCGCGCCTGCGAGACTGTTTGTGGGACGGGGGACTGAGCCAGGGCAGCCTTCAAGAAACCCCCACCCCATCGGGATCCAGGGGAAGCATCCCCGGGGGCAGGATCAAAAACCATAAAAACATTTAGTTCAGATAAATTGATCATCGTCAATAATACCCCAGTAACGTGTGGCATTAACAGCTACGCACTCGATGCACTGAATGGCCTTGATTTGCTTCTTACGCTGTGTTAGCTACCAAAACCAATCTTAATTTTAATCAAAGGCACACGTCGTCATCGGCCCTTCCTGTCGTGCACATGTATACACCGTGGGCACAGCATGACAGTGTTAGGTGGTGTTAAGAGTAAGATCAGAGGAGAATCAATCTTAAATTCGCCTGCGAAGTTTCAGCCAGGCAGGGTTAGTAGTATGAGCTGGCTTCTTACTTGAGAAGGGGAAGCACAGACCTGCGTCAGCTCCATGCGTTTATTGCTCCGTGATTCATTTTTTCTGCTTCAGAATAGAAATTCCCCTTTCACATGGAGAGAAACGCCACCCCTGTTTCTCAAGCGGCAGACGGCCGACTTTGCAGGCGCAGGACCGGTGGCCCTGGGCTTGGAGGAGGTCTGGTGGCACGGGGGGACAGGCCGCACGCTGGCCAACACAGCGCTGCCCGAGACCGTCCTGCTTGCCCCCGGCTGTGCCCGCGCCGACGGGGGAACTGGCGGCTCCAGAACAGTTTTTCATCCCTTTCTCATCACGAGCAGGGATGAATAGGTGGCTGCAAAGTTAGTCAAGTTGCCCCCGAGCCGGTTGGTTCTTTATTCCCGGACGACTCGCCCGGGCGGCGGCGAGCCGCCAGGTTTGCAGTCAGCCTCCTTGCCGATTCCGGGGCGGCGTCTGACGGAGAAGACGTCCTAAAAGCAACGACTGACACGGCTCTTGGTGGTGCTCGACTGAACGTGCAAGTGAATCAGCAGGTAACGTGTCGAGACTCCCCGAAGCAGAGATTCTGGCGCCAGAAGTCATGACCGGCCTCCAGCTTCTTTGTGAGTGTGAAATAAACTCTGATGTTCCAAAGTCCACCCGAAAATCAGGACCTGACTGCGGCAGGTTTTACTCTTAAAAAACCCAAAACCATCAAAGCATAAAAATGTGTTCAGGTACCAGTGATTTACCAGTGTTCTGAAAAACCTGGGTAGGTATTGGGAAACACTTTAAATATTTTTGGCATACAAAATATATCCCAAACCTTGTGGCTACGTTATTGTCAAATGACCCTGTCCTTGCTTGTCCAGCTGACTCTGTGTATAGTAAGATTGCTGGGTGCCGAAAGAAGAACGTGAAAACTAAATACAATTTTGCATAGAGCAAAACATTTCAAACAAATCAGCATATCTACGTTTTTATTTGCTGATACGTCAACAGATAAATGCTTCAAAGTGCTAAAACGCCGGGCATGAAATCTACATTTCTATTGGAACTGATAATTTTTTTTGTCTCAGACTTTTGGCAGAGCATATAAAAGAATTTAATTCACAGCTGTTCTACTTTTTAATGTAGAAAACATTAATCAAAGCTTTAAGTTATAAGCTTTTCTAATGTTGTTTAGTATTCCAGTTCAACAAAGATCAATAGAGGCCATCCCTGTGTTTCTTGACGCCTCTCCAGGAAGCAGAGGCGCGATTATGTAAATAGCACCGGTTCCCCTTTACTTCTGCCAGCTTGCTTATCTCCAAAGCCTTCTGCCTGCTGCTACTGGCGACCAATGCAAGGACATGCATACACCTCTTATCTCCCAACAAAGCTCTGAAAGCTCGAGGATTGGAGCCAGTAACGTTAAACAATGATGCACGGCTGATTTTATTTGTAAGTGATTTATTTTAGTAAATTTAATTTCTTCCTCCAATTTTTCAGTTTAGATGGAAGATACTTGCTAACGAGTGGGGCTAAAGAGAAATAGAGCAGATGTCCTGCAGCGTTTATATAGGTTTGAAATAATCAATTAAACAATCCGAGAGGGTAGCAGGGAATAACGAGGACGTGCCAGTTTCACCCTACGAGTGTAAAGAAAGGGATTAAGGCATCTTTGTTAAAGAGTCCAACACACGGTGACCATACACTTTTTGGAGGCTGCAAAAACAGACCTTGAGGGTACCAGAAATCTGCATTTCAGAGTCAAAGCTTCCTTTCAGGAGGCGTTTGTTTAAACTCAATTAAAACAGCAAAGTAGCGGTTCCTGCCTTACTGACTGCACGCTAACTTGAGATCTCGATAGGGCCCACAAGGAACAAATCCACTTAAAATCTCGGTAGGGCCCACAAGGAACAAATCCACAGCGCTCTGCATTACATTTCGTCTCTCAGCAGGGCTGACGAATGACGTTCGGCATCGACGTCCCTGTATGCACATATGTGCACGCACGCACGCACGCATACCCGCACGTGTATTTAAAAAGACCCCAAACAGGTTCCAGGCCAGGTGTTGGAAGGAAGCCTGAAATTTGCTCATCTATATTTAAGGGAAACGCTAGCACGCTGCCCGCGGCCACGATTTTCTAACAGAACGGCGTTCTTACATTTCTTTTGCGTTAATCCCTGACCCTGGTATCTCAGCAGCATAATCCCCATTTAGCATTAGTAGCAACGGCCTCTACTGTGAGGAACTATTTTTCGATAAGTAAGCACCGATTCAGGCGTAGCTTTTGAACAACATATTCCCAGCTCAGCAAGAAACCCGCACTCCTGAATGAACCGGAGCACATTACTGAGAGAAAGTTCATTAACCTCGCTAGATTCGGGGGTTAACAGGATAGCTGAAGAAAGGAGCAGAGTGAATAGCTCTGATGCAAAACAAATTAAAATGAATGTCATCATTCCTTTTGATATTCATTAGTTGATTCAGGGGAAGAATGGTCGTCTTAAATTTGCAAGCATTTATCTACAAAAAACAGGTGTACATCTGCTGCTCGAGTGGTTCTTAGTGCTAAAGAGAAGAATAACGCGCAGAGACTCACCCGTTCCACCGAGGGAGTAGCTGGGAGAGGGAGAAAAGACCTGAGCGGCAAAGTCCTCAAATGTCATTACTTCTTTGTGGTTCTGGATTATTGCTTCGAGATACAGAGCTCGCTCTTCGTAGCTGCGACGGCCAGGTTAAGGAAACGTCTGCGCCGAATTAAATGCTGTTACACACGGTCCCACGGACACCAGCGCCGCGGATCCGCAGCAGCACTAGCCGGGCTGTACACGGGCCTGGGAGAGAGGGGGCCCAAACCGCCCGATGCTGCGTAGCGGTTCTGAACGCGAGCCGCAGGGAGCGAGCACGCTCAGAGCCTGGAAATGAAGGTGCCACCTTGTAGCGTCATGAAGGAAAAGCCGTGACTCGGTGGGTCAGACAGATCGCTGGGGTTACCGAGGGCAGAAACAGCCCCCCCGCGCTGCAGGCTTTTTTAAACCGAACCCCAACTTTAACAGGCAAGCTGTGGCGTTGGCGAACAGAGGGTTCCTGGTACACAACGTTCCTTACAGTGACCCTGCCGGACGAGGAAAATGGTGGGACTGGGGAAGCAAGCGACAGGACAGAGGAGGAGGACACCCCCCACCCCCATTTATTTGATCACTCTTAAAAGCAATTAACCGTAATAAACACACCTCCCGAAAGCGTGAGGTTTGTATTTCAGGCAGGTGCTAGGAAGCGTAGTCTTACGTACCCTGACTAAATGATGCGCGTTGGTCAAAACCCCCCCACGACCCGCATGCATTACAGGCTGCATAATGCAGACAACAAAGCAATCTAAAATCAAGACTATTGCCTTTTAATTAAAACTCGGCAACCTGGAACACACAGCATTCAAATGTGTAATCAAAAACCAGTCACCAATAAAACTTACAAGCGTAACAAGCTGAAGCAACTTTCCAGCTGTCTTAATAGGACCCCTGCTTGCGGCAGCTTTTCACAGCGGAGAAAGCAAATCTTTTCCCTTTGTGTGCAGCTTCTGTTTCCTCCGAAGGTGAATCATACACTTCCAATAACGGGATAACGCCTGAAACAAACCTACAATGGGCTGAAGAACCCCTCGTATGGCTGTATGAATTAGCGCTCGCAGGAGCCAGGATGACATCTCAGTCTCCGCTTCCCCATTTAAAACAAAAGTTTTCAGACCCTCGTTGTGTTCCCGTGGCAGGGAAACGCACCCTAGCTCCGCGAGGCTGGTACCAGGGAGCGAAGGCCAAGTCGCACTCAGAAATCGGGAGCAGCGAGAATAACGCCGGTGACAACATAATGCAGGTGAGGGTATTTAAGACTGAAAAGCATTACTAATTAATGTCCGAGTGCCGTTTGCAACTCTCGTTGCATTAACAGAACCACTCCGAAACGGGATTTTAAAACAATCGGAGTGAAGCGGTGCTTAAAAGCAGGACACGATGGTCTGGCGTCCTGCCTCAGGAGGAGTAAGCAATCGCGCCCTAATTGTATGCGAGTTCCTATAGGGATGGTGGTAAAAAAGAAAAGAAACAAACAAACCAACCAGACTTTTGCTTTTAACGCCAGCAGAGGACGATTGGTACGTGATAAATCTCCTCGCAAACTTCCCCTGGAAGCCTGGAGAAAGGGAATCAATAGCCAGCGCCGCCGAGCCTGCACCTGCTGACAGCGTGATTTGCCCACGTTCTCCTCGCCTCTCCCGAAGCCCAGGAGAGCGCATTCCTGATAGCGCAAGCATTAGCCCGCCTGCGTTTGGGGCTGCCTCCCTATTATGGGCTGAACTCCTGATGACTCTTGTTAATGAATAGGCTGCCAAACTTCCTAGGAGAGGAGGCACACGCCTGGGCCCTATTCTAAAGGGACTGGCGGATGCCATTCACCCCTCATTATGAAGATGCATATTCCGCGGCGCGCTCGGCTGTTGCCAGGGCTGTGCGGAGC